ACGCCAGTCACAATTCCATGTAAAGTTAGCAGAAGCTGGAGTAAATCCTAAAATTATTAATACTTGGGCCAAAGATCAGAAACTTATTCAATATTCCAATAAAATTCAGAGAAAACGAACTAAGAAGCGAATGGCTAATCCAGATAAAATTCTCATTCATTTCTCCTTAGCAAGGGTATCTAAAAGGCTTCAGAATATAGATGTATCTAAAATTCCTACTAGAGGGGATCTCGCGGATGTGATAGTGATGTTGAGTATGAGACCTGCAGAAGTAAGATCTCTTCAGATTAATTACTATGAACCAGACCCTTCGAATATTCCAGCATGGTATAAAGATGGATATTCTTGGTATTGTACGGGTTATCTAAAAAGTAGAGGGGAAAAGAAAAAGAATCCCATACCCAAACCACTCCTTTCCATGGAGAAGAATCCAGAATGTGCAAGAGAATTGCTTACCTGGATTCAAGAGGCAATTAAGGCTAGAAAGTTACATGACCCTGTCTTTACTGAAAGTGGTAAACATAATGATACACCTTTTAATGAATTCTTAAAGCAGGAGCCTTATAAAACCCTACCTGGAAAGTTAAGAGATTACGGAAGTAAGCATGCTTCCAGAATCCATGGAGGTCCAGACTCGACCCCCAGCATCTTAGCTTGCTTACAAGAATTACATTGAGACAAGAATCAGATCGTCTTGATGCAGGTGATAATTACAATACAGAATCGAAAGACTCTGAACCAGAGACAAGCGACAGTCCAAAACCCCAAACACAGGCTTCTTCACCATCTCAGACAATGGAAATGGATTCAATGTTAGCTGAAATTGATGCAATGTTAGCTGAAATTCAGAAATAAATGCCAGAAGACGGGTCCAGGGTGGTGACGTGAACATCACTAGTTTAGAGAATTTTCACTAGGCCCTCATGTACGTGAGACTCAAGTTGTCCACCATTTTCCTAATGCTATTCTTGAGATCACAATTGAGAGATATATTTTTATATTAATATTTTTTTCTTATAAATTGGTGGTATTGATGTGAAATAAAAATTTATGAAGTGTATACTCCTCCTTTTCTTTACTAATCATTCACTAAATCAATCAGGCATTGGTTCATACTTATTAAATAAAAGCTTTAGTTAATAAAATCCACGCGTTAAACATGTCTAATATTCAAGATATTTTTGAGGAATGGGAAAAAAATAGCTATACCCGATACATGTTATCTGAATATGGCTTAAACTATATTAGTAATTTAAAAACACCAGAAGCTTGGCTATGATTTGCAAA